TCCGAAACCAAAGTATCCCAGCAATGGATAATAGACTGTTATAAAGAATTTAAAGTTAGTCCGACCTCATCAATGCGAACGATAAAACAAAGTAAGCGAAAAAATTACCTGGTTGAAACGAAGAATCAAGTATCCCGGGATATAAACCAGCTAGCTCTAATCGAGAATCTTTCACGAGTCGTTGGTATCATCGCTTATTGTGAGAGATTTCGAATAACTTGTCCACTCGATCGTGCAGCAAACCTTCGAACTTGGGTTCTCTCTTTCCCGTTGGTTTTGCTACAAGGTCACAAAAGTCCACCTGTTGGCGGAAACAAAAAACAAGATATTAATAACCGAAGTGAAGAAAATGGTGAACTACTTACAATAACCAGATTTAATAGCCGTTGGGATACTTGTCCCATCGGCAAGAAGATCATTAGCGAAGTCGGGGCACTGCCAGTCTCCGCCGACCCACAACCATTCCTCTTGAAAGTCGTGTAATGTGTCGGGGACCTCCATTATTAATTCGCCAACTTTAACTCTTGGCTGGGGTTTACCGACAATGGAGAAAGTGAGAAGCGGATCTGATACTTGTCTATCCGGACTCTTCCGAAATGTAAACATACTCCTCATATCCTTTGCCGATGGTAGGTCCCACTTCTTTTCGGCAAAGAGTACTAGCAATCTGATGATTCGCTTCTATGAATTTGGAGCGATCTGGCATATCGGAAACTCCCAGTCCCGCAAGTATTCAGTAATTATGCGCGGCAAAGGGAATCGCAATCCTGATCTTAGACTCTCGGCGAACACACCGACGCAGTTGGGTGGAGGACATGTAATCCTCTCACCTGGGTATGGAGCAAACAAGTGTACCGACGTAGGGACTCGGATTTCACTCCGCAGCATGAAAACATCGGCATCTATAAGTATACTCGGTTCGCCATGGGATGTAAGTTCGGGGTCCGGCCATCTTCTAATGGGTCGCCTCCAGAATCTTGAGTCATCAATGGCATTTTTCTCTACGATTTTGTCCCCCTCGCTGTCGTTTAGCCGAATATTCAACCGTTCGACAAATACCGGGTCCCACCGATTATATTCGGACAACAATTCCATCTCCCCGGAGTGGACCATGTTGATCATCATAACATCCAGTTCATCGTCACCAGAAGACGCCCACGATACACTCATGATGTCGAGAAAAAAAGAAAGGGGTCGGAGTAAATAAACAAAATAAAGAAAAAAGGAATTCTTACCACAGAAAGTAGTTCGCAGATCTGGGATGCTTTGAGTACAGTTGAAAGACGATTAATTCGCAAGGAAAACAAAGAAGACAATTGCAAGAAGAAGATGAAAGTAAAGTGAATCTCAAGAGAAGATTTCCTATTTATACTAAACCCTAAATTTAGTAGCGACCGTTGGAAACCAAAAGAAATAGGGGCGCGTGGGCCGAACGTTCTTAATTCGCGAGTCGACACAACTCTTGAGAATTGCACCTATCATCAACGGTTACGTGGCCTAATAAAAAAGACCGTTACCCCTATCAGTAAATGTTGCAATTAATTTTAATAAATTGCGTCGTTTCAACTCTCAGTATTATTTCTACCAAGTGTAAGGATATCGGAAGAACAGTTGCAAAACCGACATGTTTCCCTTGCTCAAGATTGAGTGGTTATCAGAGAATTTTCAGCATCACTGCTCGTCTCTTTCAAGACAACCATTAATGCTGGGGGCCACCTTGTTGACATCATTTTCAGTAAACCGAATTAAGTGACGATCAAATAGTTATGTTCAACAGAAGGATGGTTGAAGTCGTACAAGTAGATAATGTCTTTATGGATCTCAAGGTTCTGACACCAATCTCAAGACAATCACTTATCGAGTAAAAATTCATCAAGAACCGACATCGTCGTCGACTGACCGACATCTCATGTCGGTTATGACATGTCGGTTACTACATGTCGGATATGACATATCGGTTATAACTACACGAGCCGATATCTATGACTTGCTAAACCGACACCACGAGGCGGTGCCAACTCAGCACAACTCATCATTACACCTGGCCAAGTGGCATGTTACTAGCATGAATGGCAATTAGCCGCCGTTGACTATTCTCGTGTAATGATTACATATTAGATAAATATTGTAAATAAATATAAAAGGAGAAAAAAAGTTCTCCAACAAGGGGAGAGACAGACATATACAATAATCTCCAAAAAATTCTACCTTCTTTCATGGTTCATATACTCTTTGTTGTTTTATTTTGAAGTTACAATAAATCCCTGTCGATTATATAGTTGTTAATTCCCGTTTGACAACACCCTGATTGAATTGACTAGGTACTTTGAAGATCTATTCAAACCTTTTAACCCCTTAGTGGATTATTGTAACCTTAATGGAATTCCTAAGTCAATCAATGAGAAAAAAATAAAAAAAAAAAAGGATGTTGACTATAAAAGTAAATGATGCTCAAATTGAAAAGGCCTTAATGTCCATGGACTCCATTAAAGCACCAGGACAAGAGGCGATGACAACCTCTTTTTTTTAGTCCTCTTGGCCTATCGTAAAAAACAATCCATACTTAGTTGTTACGAACTTTTTATGAACGAGAAGATGCCTAAAAATTTGAATCATACTGTCTTCTCTCTTATTCAAATAACAAAAAGAAAAGTTACTGATTATAGTCCAATCAGTCTTTGCAATGAGATTTATAAACTCATCATCAAAATCATTGCCGATGGACTTCAATCTGTTCTGAAAGTTAGCATTTCTCCTGCCCAATCTGCATTTGTGTCTGGTAGACAAATCATTAAAAATGTGGTTATTTCTAATGAATTCATTCATTTCTTAAATCTCAAAAGAAGAGGCAATGAGAGCTATATGGCTATAAAATTGGACATAACCAGGGTAGAATGAGATTTCATTGCTCAGATTTGTAAAAAATGGGATTATGTGACCAATTTATACCGTGGATCTTAGCTTATGTTTGTATTTCATCATTTTCGTTCAATGTGAATGGATCGCTATGTTCAGCCTACTAGAGGGTTAATACAAGGAGATCCATTGTCTCCTTACTTATTTCTACTTATTTCTGAAGCACTTTCCAACCTGATCAAACAAGCTTGTGTGCATTCTTCTCTTCAAGGAATAAAAATTGGTAAGCCCCTATGATATCTCATCTCTTTTTTGCTGATGATTCAATTCTTTTCCATAAAGCCAATGTGCAGCATGTTTTTATGATTATAAAGTTGTCTGATTATGGTTCTGCTTTTGGTCGATGGTGAATATTGACAAATCCTCAATCCTTTTCTCTAAAAACACGTTGTCTTCTACTATCACCGACATTTGTGATGTCTTGAGTTGGATCACAAGAGTAGATTCTTCCAAGTATTTGGGGCTTCCTTTTGGCATAGAGAGATCAAAAAAAAAGTTTTTACCTTTGTGAGTGAGATAGTGATTTAGAGACTACAGAGCGGGAAAAATAATTTTTTTAGTGAAGCCGGTAAAGAAGTTTTGATCAAAACAGTGTTAGATGCTCTTCCAAACTATGGCATGTTTTGTTTTAGGCTCCCTATAGTTGTGTGTAAAAGTATTTGTAGGAATGTTGCTAAAAAAAAAAAAAAAGGAGAATGGAGGGGATAGATTGCATTGGGCTGAGTGGAAAAAATTTGGAAAACCTAAAAATATTGGAGGTCTTGGCTTTAAAAACCTCATGAACTTCAATGAAGATCTTCTAGCTGAAAAGTTGTGGAGGGTTCTAACTCATTCTAATTTGTTAGTGTCTTAAGTTTTGAGAGGTAAATATTTTTGGAATGAAAATCTGCTACATGTGAAACCAAAGAGCTTTGATTCTTGGCTCTAGAAAAGATGGTTGGAAGCCAGAAAATCCCTTAGGCTAGGTGCTAGATTTCAGGTGGGCGATGAAAATTCTATCCATGTTTGGGATTCACCTTGGGTACCTTCAATCCATTCTTTTATCCCCTCAACTCAGTTTTTGGGAGATAGAGAGAGATACTCGAAGGTGGGAGAGTTTATCAGGAAAGGAGAGAATAGCTAGGGGTAGAGATTTACAGTTTTACAAACTTTTGATCCTTTTGTTGTAGAGGCAATTCTGAAAAGCACTATCAGCCAATGTGGAATAAGGGACAAACTGATATGGCACTGGAGCATGCAAGGACAATTCTCTGTCAAAGTTGTGTATGAATTTCTGATGGCCCATATAAAAAAAGTTTCAAGGGGAAGGAAACTAAGTTATGAGTGCAAAGTAAAAAATAAAATGTTAAAAAGAAACTTGGAACTTGAAAGTGAAAAACAAAGAGTGCAAGGAGTCAGCTTGCAATAAAAGGTCTGAAAGAGGTTGTAAGATGTGAGACTTGTGGAGAGGACAATGAAGAGGTGGAACTGTGGAACACCTTTTTCTCCACTGTCAAAGAAAAAAAAATGTGGAGAGGACAATGAAGATGTTGAACACCTTTTTCTCCACTGTCAAAGAAAAAAAAAAGTGTCAACTTATCCCCTCTAGGACCTTATAGGAGTTGTTCTAAGTACACCTATGTTTGGCTCATTTGCACATTAATTTTAGGGGAACATAAATATTTTGTCGCAGACCAAGACTCACAAAATCGAGAGAAATTTAGGAGAAAGAGATAGCATACATAATTAGGTGTGATTTTCAGTAGGTTTGGATCTCTTGTCGCCATTTCAGCCTCTGAATTTTACAAGCAACAGGCTTAACTCAAGTTCAAAAAGGTATGGAATGGTGCAAATGAAATGACTAATGGCCATTTTATGAAGATTTCATTGAAAGAAACAGACCCAATGCACTTCTCAAACTTTGCTGAATACAACTAACAGCCCACAAAACCTATCGACAGACATGCTTATGCAGGGAGAGAGGCTTTTTTTTGTCCCGAAATTAGAATTTTCACATGCCCAATAATTGTTTCTCTACTACAAAACTTCCAAAATTACTACAGATACAAAACCATAGGAAACTAGAATTGAGTGCAAAAGCTAATCTATGACTCGGGACCGGGTTTCCGAATTTTCGTAGGAGAGATGGTGATTTGAGGGGGGGTGGTGAAGGAGTGAGTTATTACATCCTTAAACCTCACTATTGGGCTTGGTATGCCCTGATTCTCATGCATTTCGCCTGTATCTTCACCTGGCAAAAGTAGTTTCAGCTCAAATACCCCTCTGCTGAACCCTCTAGCTACCTGTCATATCCATAGCATTTCATTCTTCATATAAATTATAAGACGGGCCAAAACACCAAAATGAACACTAGTAACGAAAACACTCTGTCTAGAGACTGAGTTGCACAAAACTCACAAAATTTACTACTAAAATGCATACCTTTAGGAGGATCCAAACTTTAAGGGAACTGCTTAAAACTGCTAGCCTGGTCCTCCTTCCTGTGGTCATATACTTGCACATGTCTCCATTAACCCTAAGGACAAATCGTGGCCAAGTTTTGGGGTTCTCTGGCTCCGATTTCTGCTCTGTGGTTGCCTGAACAAAATTGGAAGACCGGAAAATAGTTAAAAAAAATACAGTTTATGATTAACATACAGCATCGTGTATGAAATTTCAGACAGAACTGATGGGAGAGGGAAAAGATAAATCCTAAAATATAAAAGATTAGCGACTTTATGAGGTCATATGGTTATGGCATGACTCGCATGAGTGTGTGTGAGTATGCACTCTTTGATAAAAAAACACTCACCAAAAGTCGACAGATTTCATGTTCAATTTTTGAAAATGAAGTATCCAATGCTTCCACTCTTCCAGTTGCATGGCAGTAGGTGCATGGTTCACTAATCATAAATGAAACACTAGGGCGAACCTGTTGAGTGCAATCACGAGAAATTTATTAGCAATTAACCAAGTGCAAGCATGTTAAGATCCCATATGAAGCTTCAGTTCTCTATGAGGTGAGCCACATCTGACTTTTATAATTGTAAAAAGCTGTTGCACGCCATGCAAGGACAGTTGTTCTCTACCACCTTAGAACCTAATATGAAGAGTGAAGTTGAAAATGGGATTGTTAAACTACCTTGCTTGGTTCAAATGCCAACAAGAACATTCTAAAAAGAGGAAAGCAGCTTGTTATTTTAAAAATTAAGAAATGTTAAGGGGTGATTAGAAGTGAATTGTTTTGGTTTTGATTTGAATAATTGGATAAAGTTAGTTAATTTTGAATAAAGTTGATTGAGTTGATGACTGAGTCGAATTTTGGGTTTGTATATAAATAATATAAATACACTAATTAAAGTTTTAGGTGATTTGAAATGATGTGTAGTTAAAAATATGTGAGCATATGAATGAAAATTTTGTTGATGTGATGTGTGATGCTGATTGATTGATATAATTTAACTCTACTGATAAAAAAATAGGAGAGTTAAGTTGGATTAAAGTTGAGTTGGATTTTGAATTAAAAAGGTGTACAAAAATTATTCAGCCAGTCAAGACCAGATTTTACTCATATCCAATCGCCCCCTAAAAGTGTGATAATGCATATGACAAAGAGTGGAAGTTCATCTACGAACATGTTCATAAAACAACAAGAAACCTAATCTAGCTATCCACCATACAATACATACAACTATCTTAAAAGGGTGAATATTTCTGTAAAACTATGTGTAGAATAAAATACCCTCTCTTTCAAACATTAATATGAGTAGTTATACGAAGATTTAATGGTGAAATTCTTGGATTAAATAGTTGTGTTAATTTCATAACTATTTACTCTTTTCCATTCTCTTCTTAATAGTTTCATTACAGATAAATAAAGAAATTAAAATATTTATTGGGCATGCATCTTCAAAATGTATGCAACGACCAACATAGGTTTATTTAGTCACTTTATGAGAATGTGGGATTCGGAAATAAAAGAAGTACATATGATGGAAGTGTTTAAGGTAAGAACATTTGTTATAAACCTCTATTCATGTTTGAAACTTGAGTTTGAATGTTAAACTGGAGAAAGACGTAACATGGGATGAGGACTTTGAGGTTGAATGCATAAGTTTATGGACGATTAAGTTCCAAATGAAAATTTGAAACTTGATGATTGTTTGACAAAATATTTTTGATAGACACTAGTTTTTGTGTAAATATTATCTTCACTATGCTTTGCTTTAAATATCTTTTGAGTTTGGATTGGATTTATTGATTGCCAGGTAATTTTTAAAAGGGACATTTTCATGCTTATAAAAAGCATTTTTCCTCTATAAAGTCTTTTTCCCTAAGCATATTTGTGTATATTGCATCCTTAGCATGTCACATTTAAAAGTATTCTTAATGAATGTATGCAGAATATCTTTGATCACATTAAAGAAATCATATTGTCCATCACACTTGCACCTTACTAGTATAAAAAATTTACTCATAAACTATCTTAACATACCCGCTTCCGAGTTATTTCCATAATCCCGTTCCTGGATAGTTCACAAACATCAACTTTCGACCGGTCCCTCTTGACGGCCTTTTTGACTTCTTGATAAACCTTCCTTCTGTTTGCTGCAACGAAACCAAAAA